GGCCCCGGCCCTGCCTCTCACCTTGTTGATGAAGGACGCGAAGCGGCTGTTGAGGCCCTTGATCTGCTCCTTCTCGTCCCGCTTCACCTTCTGCACGGTTGGGTCAATCTCCAGCTCCAGTGGCACCAGCAGGCTCTCGTTGATGGTGACGGGGGTGATGCAAGGAGAAGGTGCACAGGGGGCCCCCACCCGGTACCCGAAGCCGGGCAGGCCGCACCTGGAGGCGACTCGGGGCCTCCCAAAGCTCACATTGCACAGGCTCCGAGAACTGAGGCAACCTAGGGCTCGGAGGCCCCCAGTCCCCACTGGGCGGCTGGGCCCCTTGCTCACAGCATAGTGGGTCACCACCCGGGGGATGACGGCCGTGAAGGAGCTGAAGCCCCGGTTGCCCGCTCTGGCGCCTGGCTGGAAGGAATGGCAGGACATGGCAGGGAGAGAGGCAGAGAGGTGGGAGTCTGGGACCAAGCACGGGAGGCCCAGATGATCAAGTCCCAGCTCAGGGCCCCCCCTTTTATCTGGTAGGAGGATGGAGGGCTGAGCTGGGTCAAACCCCAAATCACCATTAAGTCAGGTTTATAAGCTTGGGATACTGGCAGATACCAAGGGGCAAGGTGGATAATTAGGGTAGCAAAGAGCCAAGAGGAGGAGTCCATGGCCTGAGCTGGCTTGTCCCCTAAGAGTCCTTTTTGTCCCCCTTCCTTGTCCATGGGGGTGATGAAAGGGGTCAGTGGCTCAGCCTCAGGGGACAGGAAAGTGGGGTTTGGGGGTTGAAGGGGTAGAGCTTTGAGGGGGAGGAGCATGAATTATACGCCGTGACTCTCCTGGGATTAGAGGGAAAATTGGCTGGACTTGGGGCTCCCCGATTTCCCCAATGCTGTTGGTATGTTGTTCTGAGGATGCTCCAGGCCCTGGTGATCCTAGGGTTTCCCACGGAGGGAGAGCTTGGGGGGCTGTGGAAGAAGCCTTCCCACAGCAGGCTGGATCTGCCCCTCCCAGGGTCAGAGGTCCTCCGGGCACTGGCTCTCTTCTCTGGCGACCATTTAGTAAAAGGGGGTGCAGGGAACTTAGGAGAGGGTGCCTTGGGCTTGAGAGGAGGAGAGGAAGGGGTGCTCTTCTTCCCAAGGTTCTTGGGGCCCCTCTACACATGCACGGGCTTCAGCTACGGGCTCTGAGGTTCCACACCCCATTTCTTTCCCCCTTTTCATGGGCCCCTCTGAGTATCCCGGAGTGAGACAGTCTTCTTTGGCCTGAGGACAGCTCTGGGGAGAGCCAATGCCCTCAGGAACCTTCCAGGTGAGTGTGGTCTCACACACAGCTCTGTGGATGTGCTTAGACCTCCTTCCCCACTGCCCTCTCCTCCCTCTTTTCTTCAGCCCCACCCGCGAATCCTCTGCTACCACAGACTGGTGTTTCTCTTCCATCCAGTGGATTTCTTTTAACCCTTGTGTTAGCCCAGGTTGACTAGAGAAGCAGATCCAGAG